GGATTCCTTGATTTTTTGTTTGTTTATGTTGGGTTTTTTGCTTAAAATGACTGTGTGTTTGATAAGATATACTATGGTTTTTTTGAGTTGCAATGGTGAAAAACATGGGATGGTTTTTTATTGTGTCCTGTCAATCTGGTTTCCAATTTTCTTCCTGTTTCTCCGATGTAGAATTCTGGGCAGTTATTGCATGTTATTTTGTAAATGATGTTGGTATTGTGTGATTCTAAATAATTTTTGTTTAGTAGCAATTTTAATTTGGGGCCGGGTTTTTGTAAGAAATTGACGTTGACAGGAATATTATGTTTAATGGCTAGTTTTGTTAACAATATTGATAACAATAAACAGCTATCTTTTTTTTCTTTAAGGAGTCATGGTACCAATATCCCCCAGAATGCTACAGAATGATGCATTTTGAAAAACTGGATTTATGAAAGAAAGAAATCAAACCAAAATGGACAATCCTTCTTATCAACCCAAAGATGTCCAAAAGGCAACATCCCAGGCTTGGATTGACAGAATCATATATGCGATACTCCACCCAAGGTCCAGAACTCATCTGGTCTGGATTCACAAACAGTCATTTTCACTTTCCGACCAAGTGGGCAAGGAGAATTCCACTTACCCATGGAATTATGGAGAGGACATGGAACAAGGGCCTAAGATGGGCCCGTGTTGCGTTCAGATATACAAGGATATAGTGGACCCCCTGCATGAACAATCTAAGACCCAACAGTGTTCATAAGATGGTCCAAGCACACACCCACCAGATAGCTAAGCATCAAATCTGGACCAGTTTTACGAGTAGGCTCCCAGGTATGTTGGTCCTGCTCCAACTGACATCTGGGAAAAACTTGCAGGGACCCAGGTAGGAGGGTTCCCAACTTTGTCCTTTTCTCCAAAAGTGGAAAAACTCAACACTCCACAGGAAAATTATCTGTCCACCACCCCGGGAACTGGGTGTGATAAGGATTCCCTAGCTCCCTGGTAGCAGTAGGGGGGAAGTGTGTGAGGTGGGGAGTCCTGAGGATCAGGTCTCTGTAGAGAGTGCAACAGGTGAACCACGTTCCCTAAGTTTTAAAAGCAAACCGATCTCGACTGATTCAGCTCTAAGATCAGCAAGGACTGGCAAAATCCATTTTAGTATTACTAAGCAGTCCATTGAATTTGTATTGTAAGATAATGCTACCATCCAGAATTATGTCTAGATAGTCTTATGGAATACCTCATCTCAACAGAGTCTGTTGCAACCATGTACCATTATAAAGGTTGCTAGTGCGGAATTGAAAAAATACAAGCACACCTGACTGAGCAACACTTGCCACTGAGTGGGATACAAAGGAAATAAAGAGTGACCCTAGAAGAAAAAAGAAAAACTGCTAATCAGGTAAGACATTATACATCTTATTAAAATGTAGCAGATGTAGTCAACCCAGCCAGGGGGTGGGGTGGGGGGCTAAAATCCCACAGAAGAAGAAATTGCCAGATCATGAAGGTAATGAAATAGGAAACTATTGGGAGAAGTCCACATACCAGCCTGCAAAATATCCCCAAGAGAACAGTTCAGACGAGCAAACAATGACATTGATAGATGCCTAATCTTGTGAAAAGTGATGTGGAATATATTTTGATCTGTAACAGCTAACCCCGAATAGCCTATAGGAATCAACTCCCAAAGCCCCCTGGTTAATGTAATGGGTGATAAATCCAGGGATTTTGCAGGATCCTACTAAATAACAGGCCAGTGCATAGGGCCCCAGAACAGTTCATACAAGACACAGAACATCTAAGTCTCTGACCGGACACAAAAGATATGGGTATAACAGATTGAAAAGATGAGAAATGCCTTGGAAAAGAATAGGAAAAAATAATGTATTCCCTTCTCTGGCAGCAAGTGTGTTCAGTAGGAAGGATCTGTCTAGATAGAGCAAAATACAGGTTGAAAGATAGAGAGTTTGCTGAACAGGAATGGCAAATAAATCAGAACAGCTACATCTGGGAACCTAACAACAATAGAAATATACCTTGAGAGGAAATGTAATACAAAAAACAGAATGCCATAGGTTTGAATGGATAAAATTATACTGCATGAAAAACAACTTTAAAGATCCAATTAGGCAATTAAAATGGTCATTTGGGATGAAGAATATGAAAGGATCATAAAACGAGATAGCACAGGAGTCAAAACCTTTGTATAAGTAGAAGGGCAAAAAAAACAAAACAGTGAAGGATGCTGTATACAATGCAAGGTAGAAGCCAAACCTTTCAAAAATCCACGTCAAAAAACTTGAAACCATGGAGACTGTTGGATGAAGTGAGTTGAAGGCTCACCAAAGACACCACTGACAATATGTAGTCCATTTCCATCGATAGATTGCCATAGTAGGTTGATGGAGGATATAGTCAAATAAACAAAAACTGTAGAATTTAAACCCCTATGGTCAGACAAGGGACTGCATAACTTCCATGTATGAAGCTGGAGTCGTTAAACGTCCAGGTGTTGAATATTGGACTGAGGTCGTCTCAACAAGGATCAATGAAGAGGTAGTGGTAAACTTTCCTGGAGCAACTTAAGAAGAGGAAACCATGTCTAAGCAGGCCAAAAAATGGTGCTGACAAGAGAACCCAACATGGGGTGAAATTAAACATAGACAAGAGTCTGGGTAAGAGATGAATAGGAAGAAAGGCATACAAATGGAATCTATCACCAGAGCTTGTGGATGTTGAATTGGAGACCAGAACTGTAGGCTAGCATTCCAATGGGTTGCAAAAGTGTCTATCATTGGAGTGCTGAACTGAGAACAAATCCATTGAAAGACCACCTGTTGGAATAATCCATGCAGGTGGAAAAATCTGATGGAGTTGAGAAAGGTGATCTCCTATCAAAATCATAACCCCTAGCACATGACAGGCCAAAAGATGAATGTCATTGGAATGAGCCAAAAAAAATCCAAAGTCCGAAAACCAAGACCTCAAGAATAAGAACTTCCTTGAAGAGAAAGATGTGAAACCACTGTGGATTAGTCAGAATGAATCATTACCATTTTGTCGTGCAAGATAGGAAGACCTGGCATCATCGCCAGATGTAATGCAAGAAGTTTGAGAATGTTGATATGCAGGGTAGATTCGTAGTCGGTCCAAATACCCTGGAATGCCTACTCAGAAGAAATGCACCCATCCATGAAGAGATGGATTTCCACACAAGGAGGCGGTATCCAGACCCTGATATTAGAGTTGTTCCTGTCTAGTCCCACTTGAGAACTACAAATTGTCTGAGCAAAGAGACTGTGTGATCTAAAGGTATGCATGAGCCACTGACCATAAAATGACCACTGAAGGGATCTCATATGGGCCTGATATAAGGGATATTAGGGAAGCCCAAATCCCCAAAACAGACAGAACCATCCATGCAGTAGGAAAAGGTGACATAAGCAAATGCCTCACAGTCCCTTCCCTAGCATGAAGTTTGAGGGAACAAGGCTGAGCTTGACTCATAGTGCATTGAAAAACTTCCCAAGATGGACCATGTATGGAACTGGTGAGAGAATGGATTTTTCCAACCTGACATGAAGTCTGTCCTTCTGGCCTCAAATAGAAGAATCTGTGGATGTAGTGTGACAATGTGACAGACTGGTGCCAAAAGAAGTCAATCTTCCAAATAGTGATGTGTGCACAGACCCAGAAAATAAAGATGCAGCTCAAAGGCCCATACTACTCAGCAGAAAACATAAGGTGCTGAAGCAAGTCCAAACGGGAGAGCTTGGAACTGCTACATCTATTCCTCATGTAAAAAATGTAGAAATTGAGGAAAAGACTGCTATTTGAAGGCATCTGTAACATCAAACTTGGTCATCCAAAGATCTGGTGTGAAGTACCATTGAACTTTAAGAAAAGATTCCATGGTGAAATGAGGAGGCTGTAGAAAGAGTAGAAGAGAGACGAGCAGCTAATAATGATAAAGCAAACTGCAAATGTGCTGTATAAAATCGGGGTTTGAAAGTTTCAGGGAATCCAGCAAACTAGTAAGGCCCAAAAAAGGATCACCTCCCGGGAATCACGAGGAGGAGTATCACAATACAGACCAAAATGAATCTGCAAAAATGTGGATCTGGTAAGAGGGATAACAGGTTCTCACCTGGAACCCCATAGATCCAACAACAAATCCAACTATTTAGTGTTCAAATATACTACAGCAAGGCGATGATAAGCCAGGGCATGTTGTTCTGATAAACGAGGGAAGCAAGTCTTAGCAATACACAAAGATCCCAGCATACATGGCAATATCAAGGGAAGGAGGAAGAACTAAGTAATCCTCCTGAAATCTATATGACAACAAGGCAGGGTAGACTCAAAAGCATGGGGGTTAATCCCCAAAGCTTCACAAACTTATGTAACTAATATCTGCAGAAAAGAGGCAGAAGATGACTAATCAAATAAGCCCTCAGTAGAGGCAGCTCTAGTGAAAGAAGCATCAGAAAACAGTGTCTAAATTCTCCCCAGTATATTCAGGTTGATGATGAAAAGCTAACTCTGAATCCCCTGTGAAAAACCTCGGGGGTGCATGAAGGACTCCAACTCATCCCGACAGTGGACCCCCACCAGACAACAAAGAAACCGTTTCACAGAAATTCAAACCAGCATTTTTTTTTAACCGCACGAGAAAACCAATGAAATATCAGCAACAGGGGGAAAAAACACATACACACCAGATTACTGTCAAAATGCTTCAAAAGAAAAGGTTAACAACAAAACATAACTTCTAGTGCTTTGTCAAGAAAAAATGATTATATTGTCGACATACGGTGCTTATATACAGTACCTGCATAGAAGCCGTGTGAGGGCTGGTATATAGTTTTGCAAATTAGATATTGCAGAGGCCAGTCGAGTGGAATATAAAGACTGGAGCAAGTGAACACGATGTTTAGTTGGCAAAGATGAAAATCAAGAAATAGCTATAAGTGTTAGCAAAGGTATGTATATTTTGGAATTCTACTTAACAAAAAACTTGAAACCTCGTGGGTCAATAAAACCTTTGTATTTCAGTATGGTGCTCAGTCTGTAAGTCTTGTTTTATGATAACCCATACCCATATGTAAATCATATTTAAAACAATAACTGTTTTGACTAATTTTATCTGCAGTCAAGGGTAGTGCATGTCATCACAGTGTATGATGATTACAAGTAAAATCATGAATACATACTGATGTTAAAATAATATTTAAAACAATACGTGTTTGGACTAATTTTATTTGTTGTCAAGGTGCTTTCATTTGTATCAGTCAATACAGGATATGTTAATTACAAGTAAAATCATGAACCAGTTGATTAAGAAATTGATTTCAGAAATTAACAGTCCAAAGAGTCAAAATAATATTAATAGCATGCACTACATATTTACAGTACTGATTATCCTTTAAAATCAGAAGATTGTCCTTGGAATATTTGGTTATAGAGCCCAAAATATCATACACATCTTGGCTTAGATCAATCACTGCATAAATAACTGGTGACCTAATTATGCATAAGATGTCTCACTATCATTAATGGCAAATATATTACTATTTCACACATAACAGTTAAGCTTTTGACACCCATTCTATTATGCTGTTGCCATTTGGATTTGCATTCCTCTCTCTTTTTTCATTTTACTAACTGTAAGCAATATTTGATGCAGAACTTTGGATAGAAATGTGATTAATTATTTCTGAAGTGTTTAGGCTGAAGATAGATTTAGAAAAATTATGAAACACCCATATTATTTTATTTATTCTATCAACAATTTTATGATTTCAGATTTCCAACAAATGATTCAAGTTTATTTTACATTAACAATAACATTCTAACAATTGTCATATGGCATTGAAGACAGAGGTACATTGTTCAAAGCTTGTTGCTTGTCAGTGTTTAGTTATATTTCCATTCTACGAGTTCCATTTTCTAGACAGTTTTTCATCAATAAAAACAGGGAATGTGAGAATGAATGAGTTAGACTTTCAAGGACTTTTCCAGGAATAAAACAACTGATTTTCCAGTACTGAAAATTTAGTTTATAAATTTTCACAACTGGTGCAAATAACATTATTTTCAATTTTTTTATATACTTCCCAATTAGAAGAGATTTCTTGAATATGTATAATAAAACAGATATGAAAATAGTAAAATCTTGCCACTTCAAAAAAACAAACAAACATAGATAAATTGAAGGGAAGAAATTAGATAAAACAAAACTAAACACACCATTAGATGAAAATTAAATCAAGGCAACTTGTGCAAAACTGTTAAAATTAAAAGTGAAAACAATGTTTACAATGCACAATAAAAACTTTATTTTGCCTACAACTAATACATGTTTCAGTAGCTTTACACCACCATCATAAGCATGTAGTCTTTTTAATGGTGGCCACAGGCAAAATAAAGTTTTATGGTGCATTTTAAACATTGCTCTTTATTTTAGTTTTACACCATAAGACATTCAAATTGCTTTCTCATAACAATTTTACAATATTTTAATTAAGCTCAAAACAATTTAATACTTTAAACTCTGAATTATCAACATATTTCAAAATGTTTTTGTCACCACAACAGTGGTGCATACTCAGAAAGAACACTAAAAATAAAAATTATGAAATAAAAGGATATGAAAAGCTAATACAAATCTTAAAGATTAAAATAAGAAATTAAAATATAAATGAATCAAGCAAAGTAAAGTCTTATCTGAAACTATACCTGGTGTTTGGAGCTAATATCATGGAAATTCCCTTTGTTTTATCATCTCCAGGTTTATCTGAAAAACAATTTCTTCAAGTGAGTTTTTCAAATCATAAAGTGTATTTTTTTTTTTACTTCTCATGTGTTCTTCAAAAACTTGTAAGTTTTAACTGGATGTCATGGAAATGTATAAAGAGAGAGAGAGAGAAAAAAAGATTATCAATGACTAAAATATCCATTTTTCATTCTCATGTATATTTATGACTTATATTAGTTTAATACAAACCCATAATAAATACACATGCAAAATGATAATAACAAACATCTGACAAAAGAAAGAAATGTTATTCAAATATTACTATAAATCACAGAAAGTAGACCTATAATAGAGACAAAGTAATTTCATGACAAAAATTGATTTATTTTGAACTAAAATGTTAATATTTTATGTACTGAGGTTTTTAAAATTTTTAACATTGTTAATACTGACTCCCTTTTCATTCTATTAATTTTCTTTTTGTGTATTCTTCACCTTAAAAGCTTTAATGCTGTTTTCAGAGGAGAAGGGGGAGAGAAACAGCTCCATTCTCTCAAAAATCATTAGTGACACTATTCTTAAGGAAGTGACTCACAAGTCTTCAGTGAAAGATCACAAAAGCAAGCCAGCCACAAAATACTGCATAACAGAAACAAAACCAAGTACCATCAACTCTTTCAACATGACCTTATAACAACTTTGTACTTGTTATAGTTTCTGTACTCTAACTTCTAATACAGTAAGTGTATCTTCACAAAATTTGGCATACTTTTAGTAAATTTTATCAAATTTTACTAAAGATTTATCCATGAATATATTAAATCTTTTTTTTGACTAGTCTGAGTACAAAGTGATTTTCATGTTAAGATTAAAAATACCTTCATCTCAAAAATCTCAAATTTCATTTGCATAACATAACCTCTACAACCTCCTAAATACATATAAAACTTTATATCTATCTGTTATTATCTTTACCCTGTAGACAAATCAAAGCATAATGAAAAGTTTAAGATCAGAAATAAAATGAGCAACTGTGCCCTTTTCTTCATTACTGATCACAAAGTTTCAAAGTACTTCTCTTGAAAGTTGCAACTGCTAAACATTTACACATATTTTTTGTGTTTATTTTACTGTCAACGACTGAAGTAGAAACCAGCTGAAACTAAAGCAACAAGTCTCTGATTTTGCCATTACACTGTTTATGTGACACTGTAATATGGTACTCTGAAGAGCAAAAAAGTACACACGAAGAAATATGTTGGCTTGTCCCCTCCACTGAGAACATATGGGATTATTAGGTTTATGTATCTTACAATGTTTACAATGAGAATTCTCCAGAGTAAACTGGAATCTATTTGAGTATTGTTCATCCTTCTGTGATGTTTGGAATTTAATAGTAGCATAAATGTAAAAATATGTTATTTGTGCAAATTTTGCAAAATAGAGTGATATTTCGGCTACAATAAATTACATGTGTACATGCATATGTATGTCTATATATATATCTTACTATTTACTCATAAATGTTTAAATTGTTGTTACTGTTCTTAAAAAAATAGAACAATAAATAAAAAATACATTGAAAGAAATATATTTAGCACTTAGTGTTACACAATTTTGTGCTTTTGCATCATATGTGCTAATCCTTAAGCCTTTTTAATTCTTCCAAGTGGAGGGTAAAGAGAGATTAATTTATATTTATAGGGTTCAAATATACATTTTAAAAAACCAAAAAATTATCTGAGTCTCTAAATAGGCTATATATGTGGGTTACAATAAAATCCTACTCCTATTCAGAGCAATGACTTAGGTGTCACCCCAACAGTTTCAGTGAAATTATAACTTTCTCCTTCAAACTATTTACAAATGTCAGATTTATGTAGTAGGGAAATTATTCTTTTTATTGGTTATAAACCTATACTCAAGAAAAGTAGGTGAGACTAGACAAAATTTTCAAAAGAATGGGGTAGTGGGAGGAGCCACTCTAGTAGATTTGCTAAATATAATGACATAGGTTAAGGGGCAGTGTGTAAGATCTCAAAAACAAAGCAAGATCAGTAACACCTATGAAAAAAAGAGGGAGATTGGTAGATGGGAAAGACTGATGGCAAGAATGTAGTAGCATTCAAGTTACTAGAGAAGAAAATCTAAAAGAGGGCTGTACAACAACCAGCAGAGAACTTATAGATGATTATTATCAATGTAGAAAACTGAATTTTGAGACTGATGTAGAAAATGCCTCCAAATCAGATGCAGAATGGAATCTGAGATAGAAACAATGATTGAGCTGGCTATTGTGAAGAGAAGAACTGAACATTTTTATTGATAGCTCTTGTCAAAATCCAATGAGAAGAGCAAGGAAAATTTCCCAAGACTAGATGAAAGTATTCATCACTTGAGAAGCAAGGCCTGGATATGGAAACCAATAAAGTGGAATATGACAGTTGTCTGACATTTCAAAATCATCAATCAGAGGATGACAAAACCATTGTAAAGTTGAATTGTCTATATGTGGGGAGAAGCCAATGGTTTGTGGAAGAAGAATCCATGAGTATGTTCATAACACCTTGTACACTACAGGCTCAGAGATAGGAATGATGTGAAAATGGAGTCAGAGATGAAGAGACTCTGTAATAAAACAAAAACTATAAAATGATTTTCTCCCCGATATTCATACACACCACAATGGTTGTGCAGCAAGGGTAGAGAATCATGCTGAACTACACAAAGATCCAAAAGATTGACGAGATATTCTCACTCCTGAGGAAACCAGCAACATGAAAGAAACATGATGTTCCCCAAAAAAGCATCCACAGCCCTTATTTGAGATGGAAAAAGAGGGTAATTTGCAGTAGCAAACTTTTGACTCGTAGCTAAAATAGAAGGTAATGTAGAATAGCAGAGAAGGATTTTCTCTGAGATAATGGGTCTAAAGATAGATCCTATAAAAAGTGCCACATGTGAGTATGCCCCAATGGAATATCAAGTGCCATGTCATAAGTCAAAATATGTATCATGATATCATAAGTTTATTAACAGTTAAAAGAACCTGGAAACAAATTTTAAGAAATACTCATTCAGTGTTGACATAAATATACTAGTGAAGATTTAATAAACTTGACAGAAATTACAATTTTATTAAGAGCTGCTTTAGAAATTAGTGTTGTTCAATTATCAATGAATATAACAAGCGTAACAACAATACAAAATGGTAGCAATAATATAGTCAAAATGCTTCAAAACAAATAAATGCTCTGTAGGAGATTGTCAGTGATTCACCTAGGCAATCTTTGATCACTGAAAAAAAGTAGATTATGCAAAATGTTGATCAATTTTCTCTCTCAACTGTCTTTTCAGCAGTTCTATGGAAAGTATATAGGGATTGTATGTACCAAAAAATGTTTTGTCACACTTCAAAATCTTTTTACAAGAAAGCAGTAAACTATTTATGAAATGGATAACAAAAAGAAAAATTAATTAATACACTGTACATCACAAGTTATTAAAGACATACAACCAACTTATAATTTACAAACATAAGTGTTGCAAAATAAATATATAATAATACAATAACTATATATTATTGTAGCTGACATAATGGTAAATTTGTTAATTTTGATAAATAAAATACATTTTTATACCAACAAGCATTAAGAAGCTTGTTTTGACACCAAGATCAATTTAATGATTTTTTAAAAATGAAAACAATACCAAACAGTAACTTGAGAATATATGCTCATAATACATGTGGCACAACTGTTGACACAAACATGAACAAAAATTAAATACCAAACATATATTTCAAGAGAAAACCATATGAAACAAAAAAAAAGAAAAATTATTACAGCAAAAGTTGAAAAAAAAAAAAATTATACGTACTTGTAATCTGAACATCTGTTTAGTATACAAACATGAAATGCATAGGGTTACAAAAAACAGTAAATTGAATAAATGCTAAAGAAACCCATTCAGTTTCAACATGAATCTTCAGACCTCTTTAGCATTCAAACAGAAAATTTTAATATTTTTTGCAGAATTCTTTTAATACCACATTTTCCATATCTTTGGGGCATTTCACATCCACTGTCTTCATCTACCCCAAGACATAAAAAGCTACAGCTTAATAACTAGCTTCTTGATCAATAAACTACTTCTTTCAGTTCACTACAGGTATTTACTGACAGACCTTTGAAATGTTTACAATATATTGTTGATCTTGTGAAGAAATCTTCTGCACACAGCAAACACTTTACCTCAGCTTTTCATAATGATGTTTCTTTCATCTTGTAAATTTCTCCAAACAAAATCGTTTTAGTTTCCTACATCATTTTATCCAGCTTCAATGTTAAATGGGTGCTATATTTCATGCCTAAGACAGGACAAAACAAATGATAAGTGTATGATTGATTGTAGAGGTGAGAAATAGTTGGCAAAAGAATTGTGGAGAGGGATGTATCCCCTTCCCTGGTTGCCAGAGGCTTAGAAACAAAGGACCTATCAGGGTATAAAGAACCCTACAAACATGCTAACAATTCCAACCGATGACATCAGCATTCCAAGAGCAACAAAATACCTATTAAGGAAGAGGTGATACATGGTATATGAGGCTAAAGGCTATATATATATATGCACACAAAACAACACACACACACTAATGTCAGAGTTGATTCAAACCAACCACCACACAAAAACTAAGGTGTTGCTCCTGATGAAAGGAACTGGAAAATCCAGTGGGTTGATGTTCCAGATCCATTAGTTGCAATGGGACCACTGAAGGGATAGCATTCTCATCCCAAAAAATTCAAGGGATTTAAGGAAAGCCAGAACCCCAGGGATGGAACCATCCCTGTAAGTAAGAGCCCGACTGCCATTCCATAGCCTGGAGCTGGGTGGGAAGTGGCTGGGCTGGGCATAAAACATGGTGAAAACATGTACAACCTAGCAGAAGACATATGGTGCTGATGCTAGACAAAAGGCTAGATCCCTGAACTGCAAAGCCTGATCCTATATACAAAACGTAGCTAAAGGCAAGATGAATTCATTGTGAGAATGTGGAGAAAAGCCTCAGCAACCTCAAACTTAGGCATCTACAGACCTGGTGAAGAATGCCAAAGTAGAGTGAGAAAGGACTCCATTGTGGACTGGGAAGGAATGAAGAATGGGTTGAGATGAGAAAGAAAGACCATTGTCCACTAATCTCCCCTTGTCTCAGGCACAACAAATAAACAGGAATAAAATCTTGGAAGAATGGGATCAACCTTCACTAACACCTTTGTGATCAGTAACTCTACTAGCCATGAAACGAAATCTACATCTCACTGTTCAGGTGGAGGTGGAAATACCAGAGGGTGAGAGGATAATGGAGGTGGAGAATTGAATGGAAAGACCAGCCTCGATACTAGAACCCAAAGTACTCATGGATCTGCCGTTTATGAATACCAGGTGTCCATCAATAGTTGTAAACTCACTCTAACTAACCCCCACCTCCACCTAGGTAGATACCAACACCATTGGCATTGGTTGGCCCAAATTGAGTGGTCCTGAAACTATTAAGGTACAAATCTATTCAGTTGCTACAGCCAAAGAAGGTCAAGGGGTCAACAACAACAAAATAAGCAAATGGGTGACAGCAATTCACAACACAAATGGCTCTGGGATACTCGTGAACATCAAGTGATGATAAAAAAGATGCTACATGTAACACCCAGAGGCTATAGTAGGTAGACAAAGTCCCTTCACCAAGGTATCTCTACAGAAGGAACAGAAGCAGTCAATCTGACCAAGGTAGAAGTCAGTATGAGACCCCATTTGTCCACAAATTGATGTGGGGACCATGTGGCTGCAAACAATTTTCAGGGGAAGAAACATCCCTGAGCAAAAGTGAGGAGCAAACAAATACAAAAAACCTGACTGATTCAAAGTGATCACATGAACAACCCTGGAACCCCAGATATCCAAATGTAAATGAGTTTAGCCTGTGGAATTGAAAACATACGTCTCCTTGGAGGTGGAAAACCAAAGCATGCCAACAGACAAACGAGAGTGCAAAATATCTATCCCGTCACGTAATAACTCAGTAAATCTGTCAGCATGAACCAGGAATATCAGGTGAAGAAGGAAAAACTTAATAGTCCCCCCTCCTGACCGTTCCGCCATCAAGGGAGGAACAGACTCAAAGGCATAGAAAAAAGCTCCCAAGCCTCAGAAACCCAAATGACTAATCAAAGAAAAGGAGTAGGAGATGGGTGATCCAAGTTGGACTCGTGAGAAGCTGACTTAGTAAAGAAAAGTGTCAGAAAAACCAAGTCCAATTCTCCCCAGAATTACCAGGATCAACAAAAAAAAAGCAATTTTAGAGGCCCCAAGAAAAAACACCCCTGGGCAAAAGTATGTCTATCTCCCAACAGATCAAAACATGGAGAGTATCAACTGAGGGTGACTCCTTCCTCCCTCCTGACCATAGAGAGATGGTGGATAACAAAGAAGGAATAGGGGAGGTAATATTAGCCGCCGTGCTGACAACAGTAATATGGGAGTTCATAACCACGAACATCATGTTCATTTTTATTTTTTTTTGTATATAGAAATTGTAATTAAACAGAAATCCATGAGGAGACACGAAAATCGAAATCCATAATGGAACAAACTACAGCACTTTGTCAGAAAATATCTAGACAAACGCTTTGTCAAAAAAAAAATGATTAGTTTATTTGAGTGAGGTGCTTATATACAGTGTCAGAATAGAGGGCACAATGATGTGGGCAGAGGGTTTTGCAAGTTATATATTGCTAAGGGCATTTTGACTGGAGCATTAGAGACCAATGCTTGGATAGGCAAAGTCAATTTCATGGAATAGATAAAGTGGCATCAGAGGGTAAGTATGTTTTGGAATGCTATTTTTCAAATCAGAAACAAGCAAAAAGAAATAATCTTGGGAAATTTCCACATTCAAGAGGCTGAGAAAACCATGTGAGGGAAATTCTAAACTTTTTTATTGGTTATAAACACATAATAGAGCAAAGCGGGAGTATGTAAGGAAGTATTTCCAAAAAATGGAAATGGGTGCTACGTTTATGAATAATTCATAGCTTAAGTATTAATTTCAAAACCACCTCCAGCTGACATATAACACAGTTGTCTATGCATATTTTGTAACTATACAGCTACCCTCTCTGCCTTATAATGTAGAAAAATTGATAATACAGCACTAATGATGAACTTGATTTTTTTGTTCAGTTTGTTCAATGCTTTCATCCATCATTCCAATACACATCTTTTACATCTCACCAAACCATTTCATTTCTTGACATACATATTTCTGTGACATCTGTACTTTACAAACCAACTGATACACATAGCTACTTACATTTTCCCTCTAGTCATCCTCAATATGTCAGGAGAAACATTCCCAAAATCAGAACTCACCAGATTGCATAGGCTCTGCAGTAACAACCAATATTATAATAGCAAATCTACCAACATGCTCCACTTTATGAACAACATGGCTACCCTACTTCTCTTCTTCATCATACTAAAGATAATCTACATACTAACAATAAATGTTCGAATTTAGCTTTCCAGAAATTGCTTATAATAAATCATATCAGTAATTATAACACCAACACCTTAGGCAATTTAAAACTTCCAACAAAATGCATCCAACTTCACTTCAACCAACACACTCCTACTTCCACTGATCATCAACACATTCCCCTTATGCTTACATTTCACCCATTCAACACATACACTGAGTGGTCACAAGTAAATAGACACCTAATTTTTTGTCATTTAACTGATTTATGCTAACTTATTTGTGTTCACAGAGCACTATATAAATGGAAATGGTCCACACACTAATTATCTTGGGCTAACATGCCTAGAACTCAAGGTTCTCTCGAATTGTC